TCTCTCGCCCAGGCTGGAGTGCAGTGGAGCAATCTCAGCTCACTGTAAGCTCCACCTCCCGGGTTCATACCGGGACTCCGGTGTAGCTGGGACTACAGGTGCCTGCCACCAAGCCCAGCTAATTTTTTGTATTTTTAGTAGAGACAGGGTTTCACCGTAACATGTTAGTCAGGATGGTCTCAATCTCCCGGCCTCATGATCCGCCCACCTCGGCCTCCCAAAGTGCTGGGATTGCAGGCGTGAGCCACTGCGCCCGGCCTCTAATTTCTTAAGGCAGAAATACAGGTTATTGGCTCACTATCATTCTTTTTTAATATAGATGTTTACAGTTATAAATTTCCTTCTAAATACTGCTTTAGCTGCATCCCATAGGTTTTGGTATGTTGTGTTTTTGTTTTCATCTAACCCAAAGTATTTGCTAATTTCCCTCATGATTTCTTCTTTCACCCATTGGTTATTTAGGAGTATTCTGTTTTAATTTCCACTTTTTGTGAATTTTCCAAATGTCCTTCTGTTATTTATTTCTAATTTCATGCCATTGTGCTCAGAGAACATATTTAGTATGATTTCAGTACTGTTAAATGTACTGACACTTGTTTTCTGACCTAGCATATTGTCTATTCTGGAGAATGTTTCATGTGCACTTGAAAAGGATATACATATTCTGCTACTGTTTGGTGAAGTGCATCACAGATGTCTTTTAGTTAGTCTATAGTGTGTTTCAAGTCTTATATTTCCTTGTTGGTCTTCTGTCTAGTTGTTCTATCTATCATTGAAAGTGGGGTATTGAATTCTCCAACATTGTTTGCTAATTATATTTTAAATAAATAGAGATGGGGTTTCGCCATGTTGCTCAGGCTGGCCCTGAACTCCTGGACTCAAGCTATCCGCCTGCCTCAGTCTCCCAAAGTGCTGGGATTACAGGCATGAGCCACCACACCCAGCCCCAAGTTTTACTGTTGAATTGTCTGTTTCCCTTCAATTCTGCCAACTTTTGCTTTGTATATTTTGGGGCTCTATATGAGGTCTGTATATGTTCATGATTGTTATGAATTCCAGATGAACTGACCCTTTATTCTTCCTTGTATCCAATACTTTTTGTCTTAAAAAGACTGTCTTAAAAAGACTATTTTGGCTGATATTACTACATTCACTTCTGTTCTGTTTTGTTTACTGTTTACATGATGTATCATATTTCTTCCTTTTACTTTAAATCTATTTGTGCCTGTCAATCTAATTTGTCTCTTATAGCATATAGATAGATCATGGGTTTTTTTTTTGTTTGATTGTTTGTTTGTTTTTTGAAACAGGGTCTCACTCTGTCACCCAGGCTGGAATGCTGTGGCACGATCATGGCTCACCGCAGCCTCGACCTCCCAGGCTCAGGTGATCCTCCCACCTCAGCCTCCCAAGTAGCTGGGACTACAGGTAAGCATCACCCCACCCAGTTAATTTTTATATTTTTTGTAGAGACAGGGTTTTGCCATGTTATCCAGGGTGGTCTCAAACTCTTGGGCTCAAGCAATCTGCTGACCTCAGACTCCCAAAGTGCTAAGATTACAGGCATGAGCCACTGTGCCTGGCTTGGTTCATGTATTTTTTCATTCTACCTATCTCTGCCTTTTGGTTGCAGTGTTTAATCCACTTATGTTTAATGGTTATTTTGCTATTTGTTTTCTACATGTCCTGTGTCATCTTTGTCCCTGTGTGCCACCATTACTGCCTTCCTATGTGTTAAAAACACATTTTCTAGTGTATCATTTTAATTCCTTCGCTGTTTATTTTTTATTTTTTTATTTTTATTTATTTTCTTGGTGTTTACCCTGGGGATTATAATTAACATCTTAACTTGTAACTATAGACCTTGCTTTGATTGAAGTTTCTACTTAGAATTTCAATTATCTAGTCAAATTTAGTTAAGACAAATAAAAAGGAGCTCTTCAATTCACAAATACACTAGGAGGTTCTTAAAATAAGCAACTGCCTCTGGTGTGAACACTTACCTTATCTAATAATACATTCTGCCACAACCTAAAGATACTGAGGTAACTTCTATCCCTGGCACCAAAAGATGTGAAGAAAAACTGCAAAGAAAAATAATAGGACAATTTTAGTGTCATGGAAAATAAGAGGAGATTATCTGTCATGAAGGTCTATGGGGACTTGCTTATGGTTAAAACAAACTAGTAGGTCAACACTGCCTACTTTGTATACTATTTTTATTTAACTTTGTGTTATAATAGAAGAAACACAGGTAGTTGCTATATGAACAAGGTGTCTTTACAAATTGTATCTTCCAATAAACACAATTTTGTCAGTATTTACTAGCAATGCGGACTTGAAACAGGTAGCTATTTATGTTTCTCAGTTTAACTGTGGAAATCAATCTAAATAAAATTATGAAAAAATGAAAACTTTTATTCTGAACTTTGCAAAGAGATATTGGTTGCCACTTGAGCCAAGTATACACAAAGAATAAGAAAAAAATACATGTGGATTTCAGATAGATTTAAGGATCTTAATTTTTTTAAATTCTATCAGTTTTCATGGTCTTCTAAAACCTCCAGAAATACCTCTCTCTGCTAATAATAAAGCACCCATGCTAACACTGCACTTTTCTTTGAATGCTATAACAGAAAAGTAGCATGTTTCAATCTATAATTCTACATTTTTATTTAATTGATTTTTGCAAAATCACATTTTAAAATAGGCTATTATAAGAAAATGCAACAAGACAGCACTAAATACAGTCTTCTCAGTGTTTTCTCTCTTCCGTTCCCTAGTTTATGACCTTTCATGGCTAAGCAGCTATCGTTAGGAAGGAGAAAGCTCAGTTCTATGCTGGATTAAGTTATTTTATTAAGTAAAATATCAAACAGATAATATTTTGGATGTTAATGCTTTTCATAGAAAGACTTTAGAATGCTATTTTCTAATTCATTAAATCGAAACTTTGCTATACATCATTCATAAAGCAAAACTTTTTACAAAGAAGATATACACAGGATCTCTTCCAAATAGAATTATAGACATAATATGTGATCTAATGATCAATACTTGCTGTTCCCTATTCCCTTTTCTTAGGCCAAATTGTTTTGCCTAATTATAATAACCTTATAACCCTGTGTTCAGATATATAGATTTTAAAAATCTCCTAGTCTATCTCATTTTCACCACTGTGTTATGCTTGCTGATTCCCACTTCCTGTACTAAATAGCTTAGTATTAACTTTATCTACTCTCATGCACAACCACCACATTCCCAACTCCTTAAAATGACCAGCTTTTTGGATAATCTACATAAATTACTACCTTTCTTTTATTCCTTGCTAGATATCCAACCTCAAAAACATATTAATAAGTCTTGATTTGGCTGGGCACGGTGGCCCACGCCTGTAATACCAGCATTTTGGGAGGCCAAGGTGGTTGGATTACCTGAGGTCAGGAGCTCAAGACCAGCCTGGCCAACATGATGAAACCCGGTCTCTACTAAAAATACAAAAATTAGCCTGGCATGGTGGTGGCAAGTGCCTGTAGTCCCAGTTTCTCGGGAGGCTGAGGCTGGAGAATCGCTTGAACCTGGGAGGTGGAGGTTGCAGTGAGCTAAGATCATGCCACTGCACTCCAGCCTGTGCGCCAGAGTGAGACTCGGTCTCAGACAAAAATAATAAATAAATAAATAAAATAAAATAAATCTTGATTCAATAATAGCCTTCTTATGAGTTTGGAAAGAGTTCCGGATAATGATATCTCTAAGTCGCTGAGGCATAGAATATATTCTAGAACCTAAAACAACTAAAATTGCTATGATTAACCTTCCTTTAGTCACAGAGTATATAAAAGGGGTGAATATTTAGTAGTACAGAATTTTTTACCATGATGATGAAAAAATGAAATCATTGCGTTAACATAGTGAGGAAGTTAAGACCACGGTCTCTGCAATTAAATGAACTGGGTTCACAGTCTTGCTCTATCACCTATTGTTAGTTCTGTGAATTGGCTCACTTTTCTTTTCTTTAGTTTTCTCATCTCCAAAGTGAGAATAATTATCACAGTGGATCTTTATAAGAATTAAATAAGAAAATATATGTAAAGAGCTTAAAGTAGTGTCTATATAACAGTAAGTGTTCAGTAAATGCTGACTTACTGACAGTATTAAAATTTAAATGCTTGATCCTGAAATTCCAATACATGTGTGAGAAACGTCACACACGAGCATAAGAGGGCATGGTCAGGCTGTTCACTGCAGCACTGTTTGTAATAACAAAATATTAGAAAGAAACTAATTGTAAAGGAAATCGCGGTATATCCATTCTATGAAATACCATACAGCATTTTTTTAAAAAGCGGTGGGTCTATCTACATATGCAGACCTACAACTACTAGAGATAATGTTGTTGTTGTTGTTGTTGTTTTAAAAAAAAAGGAGAGCTGATGAACAACACATGTAAGATGACATTTACTTTTTTTAAAAAAGAGCAAAACCATACATTTATACATGCATGCCTGTATGTAAATACAAAGAAAGGAAGTCTGAAAAGTCTGAAAAGATATATACCAAACTGATAGCATTTGCCTCTAGAAAGAAAATGGAATTATTATGGGTATGGAATGAAGATGTTAGTTTTGAAATTGTCTGATGATTTTGTTAAAAAAATGAAAAAGTATATTATGCATTAATTGTAAAACTAAGAATATTTAAGTCTTCCTCTTTCCTTCCTGAACAGTTCAGCCCTAAAGCTATTGGTGGAACAGAGAAAAGTAGGCATCCACACTAGGAGTGTGGGAGGCGACACAGGAGGTGCAGTAGCCTAAAGCAGAGTGTCAAAACCAGATGAGAATGAAAAGGTTGGCCGGGTGCAGTGGCTCATGCTGGTAATCCCAGCACTTTGGGAGGCTGAGGCGGGCAGATCACCTGAGCTCAGGAGTTTGAGACCAGCCTGGTCCATATGGGGCAACCCTGTCTCTACTAAAAATACAAAAATTAGCCAGGTGTGCTGGCAGGTACCTGTAACCCGAGCTACTGGGGAGGCTGAGGCAGGAGAATTGCTTGAACCCGAGAGGTGGAGGTTGCAGTGAGCCGAGATCGCGTCACTGCACTCCAGCCTCATTGACAAGAGTGAAACTCTGCCTCCAAAAAAAGAAAAAAAAAATGAAGAGGTCATCCCCTGTGTGGAGTGTCAGAGCCCAAGTGAGTAAGGGCCTCCACATATGGGGATGACGTGGAGAACTGTATTAGAACAAGAACGGGGTGAAAAAAGTATGGAGGAGGAGCATGAGCCAGAGTTCAAGGAGGGTGACCA